CTTAAGCACAAATCATAGCCCGTTATGGTATTACAATATTTCTATCACTATATCCCTGTATGTTAAGTGCTTAGCTTACCACGACTTCATGGTTCATTGCAATCAACTTCTTATCTTAATATCAGTCAAATAATAAAAAATTTTCTTTAAATTTCAAGATACTGTCGTGACATCAAGTCGATTTACAACAGAAGCAGTTAAAGGTTATTACCGGAGTAGGGAATTAATTACTTTTCTTTGAACCAATATTCATTTTATATATATATAGTAACTGGATATATATAGTAACTGATCTATTTCTTGTCGCGTTTTATATAATATCCACTATATTTATTTTCTATTTTGTAATTATGTATATAAATCATAGTATGTATTTATTTTTTTTTTTGCTGTATAGATCTGACAATAATATATGGAAATATAACGTCTCAGTAAATACTACTAAAGACTTCCAAGAATCCTACACTAATTAAACTAAGCAAATTAAATTAAAGTTATTTATAATAAAACCACATAAGTTTATTTATACTTCAAATGAAATTTAATTAAAAAAAAAAGAAAATAATTATGGGGAAGTTTTAAGAAGTCACACTTTTTAATGATAATAAATCTTGATCAATATTAAGTAGTAGATTAGATTGGTATAACGTAACTCATGACTAGGCTGTATATTCATTTTGCAATACCTAGTAAAATAATACTATAAACCAATTTGTTCTCATTTTTCATTTATCTATAAGTAATTTAATATATTGTTAGATCCTTATAGTAAAACGATCTTGGGGTGTTAATAATTTTATTACACTAGCTAGATTTAGCTAGAAACCTTATATGTGAAATTGTTATACGAGTATTGTCCCGCTCCAGTTGCAGTCAGTGGTCATAACTCGTTTTATTAAGACATTAGCATGATGATAATGAATATATAGTATATAAATAAATAAATATAATGACTAAATGTGATTTAATACTTTCGTAAGAAGAAGTATAAGAAAAGGCTTATTCATTTTTACCTGAATTAAGCGGATCACATTCGCTTGCACGTACTTTAGTATCTTCAACGTGTAATCTGAGCGAGTACGAATACGAGTATTAGTATCAGTTCACTGTGCATATTTATCAGCGTACAGAAATAAATCAAAAGGTCTGTAATTACGGGTTAAAAGTCCACAAATAAATTTAAGAGTTCTATATTTATAATGTATGTGCGAGTGAGTTTATATGCTGATATGGGTTTTTTTTGCGGGTACTAAGCCAGACAAGGGTTGTAAAACGGTATTAAAGGCTTCACTTTTTATTTCGAGCCGTATCAGGTTTTTATTTTATAATTCCTATTAAAGTGTGCATTGAGATGTGCAAGAGTATCTACACAAACATTGCAAACATATATGAAAAGATACAAGTTTATATCGAAATGTTTTTAACAAATACGATACTATATACTTATTATACGAGTACATTGTATATGTATATATGTATATTTTTTTAATAAACATATTGCTTCACTTTTTTATGTAATTTGACATTATCGCGAAATTTTCTTGTGAAAACACTTGTTCAAGTTTAAAATTTCCAAAAAGGTGTGTTTGCTGGTTTCTTTTTCAATTATTTGATTAAATTGATTGTTTTTTTATTTATTTATTTTCTTTTTTTAAACAACTTTTTTTAATTCAATTTAATTTCATGAAATATTGCAATTTCTGCAATTTTTTTATTTATTATTTTAAAAAAAATCTACAAATAACAGAAATTAGTTAACTTTGTTTAAATGAAACTTTAATAAATATCAACAAAATAAAGAAAATATTATACATATATAGTTAAATTAATTAAAATTGTAATTATTGAAATATTTATGTTTTCATTTTAATTTAAAAATAATAATATTATTTAAATATTATATAACATTAATATTAATCAATAATTTTAATATTAATAAAATATTATTAAAACAAAATAATTATAATATAGAATATTATAAAAAATAAATAATATAAATAATAAAACTAAAACAAATATAATAAAAAAAAATAAATAAATAATAAATAAATAATAAATAAATAATTCGTCCGTCACTTCTATACGGTTGTGTAGCGTTTAGCAAAGCTTCAAACACTACTATTCGCCAGGTAGAAATTGCACAAAGCCAGGCTCTGAGAAGACTTTTCAAAGTTCCATGGTACATTAGGACTAATGACATCCTCAGAAACATCAAGATTAATCCCATCAAAAAATACATAAAGGATAGAGCACTGAAAAATTTTTGCGAAAACTGACAGACTTACCAATACCGTGTTATTAAATCTCAAAATGGTTACAGGCTCCTCGGGGAGGTATGCAGATCTGCGGTCAATTATTGCTTAGTCTGATGAAGTGATAAACAATAATCTAGTCAAGGTGTAAAGAGAGGTTTTGAAAATACCTCGAGTTAAGAAAGAGTAAAAAAGTGAAGTGATAAACAATAATCTAGTCAAGGTGTAAAGAGGGGTTTTGAAAATACCTCGAGTTAAGAAAGAGTAAAAGTGTTTAAGTGCACTGGCTCAAAACAGCTTCTACATAATAATAATAAAAAAAATATTATTCATACATAATTAAAATTCTAATTATTGAAATATTTATATTATCATTTTAATTTAAAAATAATATAATTTAATATTATAATAAATAAATAATATAAATAATAAAACTATAAAAAATATAATAATAAAAAAAAATATTTTAATAAAATATATGTATTATATTTTTATATTAAATGTAAATATGTTCATTTATAATGAAATATAAAAATAAAAGGGCAGGCGTAATAGGTTACGTTAGATTGAAAACGCAGGCGTTGAATCTAACATAAACACATTCAGTCGGAGATATCTATTGTTTATTATGATGCTCTTAAAAATGCTAGAGGGAACCAAGCTACTAACCAGTTTTTGCAATATAGATAAGCAAGAATTATATTTTTGAGATCTCGACATAACCATAACATTAACGAAAAAAAAGAGCCGAGACTTCACACCTAGCTAACCTAGTTTTTATATGCATAAATTTTGGGTAATTAAATACAGAAAAAAGTATAATAAAACTACACTCAAATCAACAGAATTTAATTTAAAGGGTTTGCTTTGTATTCTCTTAATTTAAAACGAAGCATATATGCCGCCCTATGCAATAGCAAAGGGTCTCGTTAGTTTCCAGTAATCACACGAACTGCAGATTTGCTAAAACCCAAAATAAGGAATCATTTATCACCGCATTGAATTCATCAATATATATTTATGTTAAAATTAAAAATTATCAGTACTTTTCTCCGTTGTTTTTCATAAATTACAAGTCAAAATTTATTTTACAAAATTATATAAATTTTTCCTTTAAGAAATGGATCATCATCATATGGCTGTTAACCCTATACTGAACTTTATCGTAAATGTGTTTAATTTATCTGCTTAACTTGTACAATTTAGATGTTACATATACACGACCATATAGCGATCCGTTTTCTTCCAAAATATGCGCCCTTCTCGACGTTCAGTAATTATATTAATATATAATTTAATAACTACAGTAAACTCTTAAATTGTTTATATTTAGGTAGCCCCATATCATCAATATACCATATGGCTCTATAGCTTACAATAAACTGTTGTGTTATTCTCCACTGAGTGAGTTGTTAGCTCAACAATTGCTAGGCTGATTTACCCTACAGCCTAGGATTTTAAAAAACGAATTAATCATATACTGACTTACTTGCTCTAAGTAGTACTCTTAGAACTACCGTATGTATGTCCCCATTGTTACCTAAGTAATTGAGTTTGATAGAATAAACATAACTACATACCACATCAAATCCTTTACAATTTAAGTCACTAATAATAGAATAGAAAATAAACAGGATATATATACTGAGTCCCAGAGAGCGCAACACAGCGACCATTATTGATCTTTGTATTACTAACCACAACAACTGAACAGAAGACACTCCGCTTTTCGAATGGAAGCCAAAATATTAGCTGTTAAGAACATCCTAACTTCCGATGAGGATGGGAAGTGCAAATATAGCAGTCTACTTCTAGCCCAATTCAAAGACAGACAGTCGCAGTGAATATGTCTAGTGGTTTCAAAGAAGAGACAGCATGCTATCTCTGTAGTTAGATCCATCTTTTTAAGATGATAACATAGGCCATAATACTCCACATAAAAACTCCAGTTTCGTTCTACTGGAGATGGTTACCCTATCATAGCGAAACAGATGTATCAGCTGTTTAGCCTGACGATTACTTGGAGTGTCTTAGTCACATAATGCTCTTAATAGATTGAAACTTCGTAAGACATCTTGTGCGATCAGGTTCAACCAAACAATATATTGTTGATACTATTATATTGCTTTTTATTGGCTTTCCTTGTTTATAAAATTATTATTTACTTTTTAGAAACACAGTTGAGTAAATTGCGTAAATTTAAAAAAAAAACCAGACATAGTACGAACGGTTTCTCCCATGTTAATCAATGATTTTACACTATCATAATATATTTTAATATAGCTTTTATTGGTTGGCACCGAATGTTACGTATAGGCCCTTTGTTTTAAAGCAATATTTACGTATAAAAAGTTTTTCTTCTTAAGTAAATAAATAAAGTTATTGAACATTTAGTACTCTTAAGGACCAACTTTACAATGTACATTTAAGTAAACTTTAAGTGGTCGATATTGGGTACTTAAGTGTTACTTAAAGTTCAAAATAAATATCACTTTAAAATCAAATCGACACTTAAATAAACAGTGTACGATTTTCCAAACAGATCTTAATTCTTCATTTTAAAATAACAAATTATAAACATATACCAATACTTTCAGTAAAATTATAATCTAAAACTTTATACCAGTTTAAACTTTATACTTAAAAATATTTAAGTTGTTAATTATTTAACCAAATATATCAATGCCAATTATATTTTAAAGTTATTAAATTATCATTAACTTTGTTATATATTTTTTGTATTTTCAGTATTCTTCCCGTCAGACGTCATCCCTACACAAGTCCTTCCAACAACAACCACAACAATCTGCTACGTCTTCAACTTCAACAACTAAAGTGCGGGATAAAGCGGGCAGTTACAAAAGTTTTTATGAAACGAATTTATAAATTTAATAATTTTTAATTTTTATAATAAAAACTTTATTGCGAAAAATAATTTATATAATTCTGTATCTATATTTTGTAATATATATGCATTAAAAAATGTTTGCTAATAATAGATGTGCTTCTAGGTTAAGTAGAGCTAATAGGTAAAAAGATATTGTAATCGTTAAGTGAATAAGAATAAATTTATAATAAAATTTACGGGTAATCACATTTAATTTAAAAAAGCAATACGTAAAGCCCCATAAATGGTTGGTTGTTCGGTAAAGTACTTAAGGATCTTAAAATTTAATAAAAAAAATATTATAAATTCCTACTGAGTAAATAGTAGAAGTGCTTTTTGAGCTGTTTAATCAAAAGTATTAAAACGTGATAATTATGTTTATTTAAAAAAAAATTTTTTTTTATTATAAAATTTGTAATTTATAAATGTTTCAAGAAAATCTATATTATAAGAAATAATAAAAATTATATTTATATAAGCATAAATAAATGCAATTGTTTTGTTCAAAATTAATATATCAGTTATAGAGTATATATAACAGTGTTGAGGGATTCACACAAGGGTTTGTTGAGGCGTTAATGTGGCATGGGTAAGACGAATTATAAAGATGCTAAATGAAAGTTTTGATTGGATCAAAAAAAAATATTAATAATTTATAATAATAACAATTAATAAGAAAATAACTTTAGTTAATTCTTTCTTTTAACATTACTGTTAAAACAATAGATTGGTTTGATATATAAGGTTTATGAGCTCCCAAGTAATGTTTGGAATCTTCAGTTAGAGCTACGGTTTAATTGCTTTAAAGAAACTTGGCTGAACTATTCAAATCTAACTTATTAATTATTTTCTAACGACTTGTTTATAATAATTTTATATATCATACATCATTAACATATCAGTTTGATCCACAGACAATTCTGTTTAAATCTCTTAATGATCAGGGAATAAAAATTTAATTGCAGGTTGTAATTCTCTTATTATAAGCAACCTTTTGCAACTCTTTTATTATATTTTCTTTTGAATCAATAATTTATTTTTAAATATACTTGATCCATATTTTAACGACTTTATAGGCGATATTGTTATAGTTATTGAAAGTAATTAAGTTTAGGACTGCAATTAGAACTATAGAGTTATAGAGACAAATAGGAAGAAAGCCACCATATTATATATAAATTATTATATTATGATAATATATTATATATCGAATTTTATTCATTAGCAAAATCTGTTAATAAGTAATATTTCATAAAAGCAGTACGTTTTTTGAAAAATTGGATCTCTTTTTCTGGCTATCAAATTTAGACATTATCAAATTAGACATCATTATACGAAATTATTGTTCCAAAAATATTCTCCGGTTGGATATACACACAACTTTAACACTATCTAATATTCTACATTGGAACTAAAATCTAATTCTTGCAAAAAACAAACCGCCGAAGAAAAGGTAGCAGCTAAACTATTAATTGGGGTAGAGACGAATAGGTAAAATATACGAAAACTTGTAGAATGAAACTAAAGAACAGTTAATCAGTCTATATGAACTTTACTAACCAAAAAAAGAAAGGCTTTACTAACCTAATAAAACTACTAGACGTTTTAATTCTATGCGAAACATCTCGGTATAACTTTTTATGCTACTAGAGGTTAAAGCTTTTTTATGCTACACATACTAGGGGTTATAAAACTAATCATAACTTGTCAATCCAATTCCATATGCCACGTTTTATATTGGTTTAAAAGTAATAGGGACTATTAGTAGTCCCTGTTGGGACAACCCTTTCTCATCTAACCCTACCTGCTTCCAACCGCATTCCTTCTCCATATAATCATTTTATAATTTTTTCCACGTTTCCAGCAATATAAATCTTTACGGATTACAACAATAACTGGGTTTACTACTTTACCGTGCTTGACGATCAGGTTGTAGTCTTACATGTCATATTATAATGTAGTTTAAGTTAGTCTAGGCCAAAGAAATGTTATATATAACGGCAAGCTAAATTTTTTAAATAACAACTCCAGGTTATATATAACAAACCAAACCTTGGCGAAAATTGATTTGAGATAATATGAGAATTGAAAATAAATATATACTCTACATGTAGAAATGCTAAATCCGATATAATCTTGAACTAGAATCAAAATGCAACATATATCTCACCCTGCATTTATATCAATTATCGCAAACATATTATTAATATCCCTATTATAAAAAGGATTAAAAAAGACAGGATCTAAAAGTTTTCCTGTAATATAAAGAATTTTTAAGATGAATAAAATTATAAGTTATGAGAATAGGTATTATATGGGTATAATAGGGTAGTCTTAGCTAGGTGTTGGTTGATAACTGATGGTGTGTAGCTAAAATAGTAAGTAATATTTTATTAAATTTTTTATGTTTATATCTAACAAATTAGTTCTAATAACTATAAATTTTAAAACGTTTTTAATATTATATTACCATTATAGAAGTACTAATATTTATAGTAGGAGAGATTTTTTAAAAAGAAGCAAATTTATGAATATGAGACAGATATGGATCAGATAAAAGAACGTAAGAGTTTATATATATTTAATGTTATAACATCATATTGGAAGGTTTGTTATTTTTCTTGTAAGAATCTTTAATCTCTAGGAGAGATGGGATAAAATTATTCCATTATTAACTCTCAAAACATAAACATACAAAGTTAATGTCTTTGTTCTCAGTGCGTTCTTGAAAATCTCTAAAGCAGTGAATTTTAAATACATTATTATATTAAGCGAAAATTATAGTGAATACAGATATAACAATATTAACATATTAATTTAATATTGACTTGATAAATTGACCAGAAGTATTTTTGATCAGTTTAAACCGTGAAGTATGGATCGTGTTTCTATGTTGTTATTATAGAATTAATATATATTTAATACATATATATTAAATATACATATTATTATATTAGGGCTATGTTATACAGACAATCAATGATTGTTGTTGTAGCCAATATGGAATTGAAAAGCAGATAATATGAAAAAATTACGCGACGAATGGAAGGTGTAGGATGTGGTTGGGTAATGGTTGTCTGAGTATAACTAGGATCAAGACGTAAAAATCTGACCACTTCAATGGGGTGGGTTTAAAGATCGACAAGACAATTGTTGTTGCTTTTAATTTACATTGAAAGTAACAACTTACGTGGTGATTGATGATCATTTAATCGTTTGCATAACATAGTCCTTACAGATCTTAGAAAATTATATTGGAATAGGGGACGGGGAATTAGTTATTACGATTTTTATAAATTGTATTAAATGCTAACAAATTCCAATTACATTGATTATATGAAAAATATTAAGTATTTTCATTGACTTTTACTCTACATTATAACAACAAAACTCGTTAATAGAAATTAAATATTTGAGAAATATATATTTAAAAAGTTTGAGTCGATATATTTTTAAAGCTATAAAAATAAAGTATTGAGTTTTCAAAAGATCGACGCCCAACGCTTTCCCATATTTTTCCCAATACATATATTTTAATTTTCGTTATCTACTACAAATAACAATTACAATATAATTTTTTGTTAGGTACACAAAAGTTCTTAACCTTCACTGAAAAATACACATATAATAGACTATAAAAAATTTGGAAAGCGTAGGTATTGATCACAATTAATAATTATATAGTGGAAGATACTACAAGTGATGCAAACATATATGTTATTAGTTATTGCACACACATTAACAATGATAACAGAGAATTCATTATTTTGTTAGTGTCTATGATTACTACAATTCACCAGGAACATAACTAAATTATATAAATTAAAAATATATAAATTCTTTTGTGACTAAATAAAATGTGACTAATTTAAAAAATTATTATAATAAATAATAAAATCATTTATCTATAAGAAATGATTTTATAGATATCTCTACAAAAAGATTTTAACTATTTAATTTACATATTTATATACACTATTCAAATTTAAAGACAAAGATAAATATTTTGAACTGCATTTGAGTTGAAGAAAAAACTATTTTTAGTCGCAGTTTATTTAGTCATTTGTTAAATATTTACTTATAATTTGCTGTGAACACTGGCTTTAGTTTAATCAACAATTCTTTATGTTAACTTTGTATTATGTTTCGATATTATTGCCATCTCCAGCACTATTATTCCTTCTTTCAATATAACTTACATCTAATATACAAAATTTCGCGCGACACATTGGACAACTGCATTTCTGCTCAAGCCAGACTTCACGATCGAATTCATTTTGGCGTGCGGCAAACCATCTTGCTAGACACTCAACACACCACATTGGACGACAATAGCAATCTGAACAGACGTTATCCGGTACTAATGGACGGCCTTCATTATCAACATCTTCACATTGCTTACGTATTTTGATGTTGGGTTCCGCTACCATACAAGCGAAACATTTGTCTGCAATAAGGTCTGCTTTATAGATGGGATTAAGTGCTACATGTTCCTTGAACACATCAACGAAACGATCAACTACATTCCTATGAAATTGTATATTTGCTGGTATGGATATTGGTCGAGTTATACGTTCTTCTAAATTACGAAATTCCAGCGCATTAATGCGGATATTAAAGTCAGGTATACCTTGACGATTAGTCTTCACTTTAATGCTAATCATTTGCAGCGTGTCATTCGAGTCTTGTGACACATTATATGTTTCCGTCTAAAAAAAAATAAAGTAAATTTAATACAATCACTGTCTTTTTAAAATATGAATAGTAATATCAAACTGCTTATTTATTTATTTATTAAAACTATTGTCAAGACAAAACCCAACGGCCGGTACTGCGGTCAGTTGTACCATATATAAAACTACTTACAACTGCAGACAACTATAATCGTGAATAAAGTTGTTTGAGATATTTATAACTGAATTTTTCTAAAAACTTAATAAAATAGTTTTTATTTCGTATGCTTAAAAATCACAAGTTCAAGTTCTATAGTCGTTCATATAGATTGGTTCTAATATACCAACGAATGGTCATTGTGGTAGAAGTCCCACTTAACGAAAGGTTCCTTACACAACCCATGTTTTAAACAAAGAAATAGAAGAGGTTTTCATGATCTCGAAGCTCGATAATTGAGTAACACTGAAAACAGCCAATAGACATATTCTAATGTACATGAAAAAAGTCATAGTTTTCACCCTGGATATTATAAATGATAGTGTTAACTAACGAAATGTGTTAAAGCTAATGTTCCATAACATATTTTGATAAAGGGACCATCATTACTACCTATAAAACTGCTCTAAAATATTACAAGACACGGATAAACATTTAGATATAATATCCATAGTATCAAAGAGAATAAAAGTTAATAGCATATAACTCTGTGCACTTTATGTTTCACTCAGTAAAATAAGCAAATTAAAAAAAATAATAATGGTACTAAATTTCTTAAAATTAGTCTGTACTGTATTTTATTGTAGTTGTTGCAACTACTGGAGATCTATAAAGCAGATAACATAAACAAATATTCAAATACTTTTATAGCTATATTCAAATACTTCTATAGCTCCATTTCGCTATTAAGCAAAGTCAATGTATTACTTAGATAAAATTTATTTACTGATATGAAGACATTCAAGTTATATAAATATCGATAAACTTTAATTTTGTTAACCCATAACGTTTATGGTATATGCCTATTATTATTATATTAAATTATATAATTTCTCAAGACCTCAAAAAAGTGTTTAGAGGTTGACTGCTTTACAATATAATCCAGACACAAAAAATAATCTTATACCTACTTTATCTCAAACAACTACTTACTTTTTTCTTCTCACTCTACCTTAATCCAATCACATTCTAATCTATTATTTATGTAATTGTCTTTATATTTCCTTTTATATAAACCTCCAAGGGTCACAACAAGAATAAGAATACCTTTTTTTTTATAACAAGATAATTAACTAACTTAACTTAACTTACTTTGTATTAAATATAATTTACAATTACAAAACTGAGTAATGATTTAGTATATATTATTAATCTTAAACTTAACTTAATGTTAAACAATGACCTTTATTGCATTATTTTACTATACCTTTGCTACTGACAGGGAGGTATCACTTTGATGGGCGAAGTTGACATTATACAATGAAGTTTTTATTATCCAATTTTGTGTTGCAATCACAGTTGAAATAGAATTTAACTTCTTTTTATATATGTCGTACCTAAATTGAATGAAATAGTTATATGTTAAAATAAGTATTGATTTTTTTCTATTACCTTCGAAATTCTGCACTTATATCCGTTGCAACAGGTAAATAATTATGTGGGCCATTCGAAAATTTATTTAAGGTTAAACTGATCGGATGACGTTTCCAGTTTTGATGTTTCCAATTAAATATTATCGCTGGTACAGCTAAAACTGCTATTAAACTAAATCGTTGTGCTATTTTCCATGTAAGTGTTTTGAACGCCACTGCTTCCTGTGGCATTGGAAAATCAGGGTCAAGGTCTGCCTCTGGTGGTTCCTTTACTGCAAATACTGAAAATTTCAGTTGATGTATTAGAAAATACGCAGCCGGAAGACAACTGTGTACGAATAGATTTAGGCAAGTGCGTCGCTGATGATAAAGTATAAAATTAATTTTCTCATCGCCCAGTAACCGGGCGCCAAATTCTTCGATCGTAAAACCTAAACGTTGAAATTCTTCCGGAGGAAACACAATACACATACATAATAGTATATAAAATAGATTAAACAACAGTTCTGATTCGTCCATTGTATTAAAAATTTTGAAAAATTCAGGGAAAATTCCCTCAGTATTAAAAAGAAAATAAACCAAAACAAAAATATATAATTCTTCTGCGTGTCAAAATATTCTTGTCTCTTTTATGCTGTTCGTTCAGTGCAGGAACTGCAGGGTTGCTATAATTCTGTTAGGAGTTTATGTTAATTTTAATGTTAATGATAATTTTTGCAATGTTCATTTTTCGCCATTAATAATGAAGATTGGATATTTTAAAATAATTAAATTTATATTTCTTTATATATTGTTCAATTACATGCTCCTCGGGGAGATATGCAGATCTAAGGCCAATTATTGCTTAGTCTAATGAAGTGATAAACAATAATCGTGTCAAGACGTAGAGAGGGGTTATGAAGAAACCTCGTAGTTTCTAAATGTGTTCAAGTGCACTGACTCAACATAATAATAAATAATGTAAAATATTTATAGAAACAATACTTTTAAAACTCATGTGATCACTTTTTTCTTTTTATTTTGTGTTCTTAGTGCTGTTAGCTAGCACTTTGCTGATTTTATTGTAAAATTCATTTGTTTTTGTAGCGTTTTAAGCTAACAATTTTCTTATTTTGTCTTTTGCTTATTTCAATGTATGTATTTAAAATAAATTGACTACTGATTTTTTTTCTGGTTGACAGAAAGAGTCAAAAGCTATAGTGTAAGACATGAACTCATTAAAACCAACACTTATATGATCTAGACAGCCCTGGTTTAGCACATAGCTGTATTCTTAATTTAATTGACCTATAAGAGTTCTTGCTGCACAGGGAAGGTGTTGTTCTTCCTGGAAATGTTAAAAGGGGCACTATTAAGATCTTTATGCAACCGTAGTCTTGAAGAGAATACTGCATATGTGTGAAGGATTGTAAGTGCTTTAAAAAGTGGCGACGTATCCTCCTTGTACTTTTCTGTATCCTCATCTTTTCTCGTTTAAGAATGGTGGATGTATCATCCTTAAGAAGAATATAATCTATGCGCAAGCACAGGATAAATAATGATTATAAATAATGGTTATTTTTTTTATTTTAAGGTTTATTTGTAAACATTTATGAGTAACATCGAATTGTAAAAGTTTTGTATAATTTGGTTTACCACATTCGTAAAATAATAAAAACAAATAATAAAAAAAATTATAATAATAATAAGCGAATCTGCATAAATCTCATATGCAAAAGGAATGTCATTTACGTTTCTTACCTTTTTTATGTTTTCAATAAAAATTAGTTATTTACGTACATAATTGAGTGCATTTTTATGGCTTTAGTGCGCTTAAGCAAGGAATGTTCTCGTTCGAAGCGGAACTAGAGTCGTTCATGCTTAATTCGAAACTGTTTTCGCCACTGGTGCCAGTGACCGTTGTTAGGCTGGAATCATTGTTGGAACTTCGTTGTTCTAAGATACTTAAGTTGGGTATTGAATTGTCATCATCATCGTTATCTGAATCGTCGCCGTTGAGGTTTGCAGGTAGTTCCATATCATCACCGATACTATCATCGTTACTTAAGCTGCTACGATGACTGTGCTCACTGAATTGGGGTGAAATGCTACCATTGAGTATAGCGCTAATGGGTAGCAGCTCACTATCATCTCGTTCGCCATTCAAATTTAATACACTTATATTAGGCAAAATCTCATTGTCAGTCATGGAGTGAATTGTATGTGTTGCATTATCGATGCTCTTTGTTGAGTTTTCCACAAGAACGCTTAACATAGGAATTGGTGCTTCGCTGAGGTTGGTGGATTCTGTGTTTTGTGATTGTGCGTTAGTTTCCGCTGATACTGATTGTTTACTTTCGTTTTCGTTTGTCATGAGTGCAGAAAATTTTGGTATATTTTGTGAAATTATTGCGCCACTAGCAGTAAACGAATTATCCACCGCTTCATTAACATTATTCTCATAAATTCTGCCAGCTTCAGCGGTGCTCGCTTCATTTGCTTGCTCTGTTTGTAGACGCGCGGCACGCAATGCTCTTGGTGGCGGTTTGGGTGCATCGTTGTTATCAATGGGTACTTGTTTTTCGATTCTTTGATATTTGGTATAGAAATCTTTATTATTATGAGTTGAACTGTTCGCATAATTAGCATTGTGATTGATTGTTTCTGTTCCAGGATAATAGGAACTGTCATTGACAATATCTTTAATATCATTAAATAAATCATCTGGGAGCGAAATATCGATTTTAGCAGCTGGACCGTTCGTTGGTCGCGCAGGTGGAGGTTCTGTACCAACACAAAAAAGAAATTATTAAAGTTTGGAAAGGTTTGAGTGGACAACAATGCAACTTACCATTTAGAAAATTTAAAGCTACAAAATCTGCAGCACGATATAACTCTGCTTTCAAGAGCAGTTGTATCAGTACTCCAATTGTGGGTCTTTCAAATCTACGACCAGAGGTGCTCCACTCGTCAAACAAAATCTGTGAAAATAATCTAGATTCACCAGGTCGCTTAGTAGCGCTTTCTATAAGCCATATGTCGTCGTTATTGTATTTCAAGCCAGCCGCTGAGATGGCTTGATCCCAGTCAAGCATACCGTCGTCACTGCTTACTTCATTGTTCAGCTCTTTTGGGATCACTTCCATCAATTTCTTCCAGCAATTGTTGTCATCCAGTATAAGACCAAGTTTGTAAACATCGTTTGGTTGCAGATGACGCAGCTCTGTCTTACGTGTATACATTTGCCGTTCTTATATAATGCTTTTCGGGGACGAGTATTTCAGGTGTTCTAATACATTTTTTTTAAATTTTACTAGATCTTAACTAAGGAATAATCAACAAGTTCTCCCAACGCGTCTTTGGGTTTTTCTGCAACTTGTTATCCACATATATCCAAACAGCTGTTCAAGTGTGGAATGCGAGTTTTCAGTGCTGGAAAATAAGAAATTTTTTATCATATATTTTAGTACACTGGAAAAAATTTTTTAAAATAATATTTCAATAAAGTGAAAAAATTTTATACAAAGCTTGGTACTTTTTTTGCAAAAAGCCACAAGATGAGACTTAGACCTAAGACCATCTCATAGGTATGCTAAATGTACAAATTTCAGTCCGTGTGGATCGTAAAGGTGAAACCCGATTAATCAAGTGAAAAGCAAACATTAGAAAATAGAAACGCCTGTATCATATTTCCACTTGTCTCAATTAGACAATTTTAGATAATTAGATAATTTACCATACAAAGATATAAAGCTCATATAAATGAGCTCATTATAAATAAATCAACTGATTTAAGGTGAAAAATGTTAAATGCAATACTTAAAAATAAATTTCAAGCAAGGGAAATTACCAAAATTTGAAAAATTTGTTATATGTTTTATTTTATTCTATATGAAAATAATACTCTGCATGTTTATGATTAAATATATAAATATATAGATACAAATAGGTAACCTTCAAACCTTAATTGTTTGAGATCACTGCTAAACACACTGAACTACTACTTAAAAACGATCATGTATTGCAAAAGAATTCTCGTGGTTGGTTGAAAAAATCTTTTATTAGTTTGTGAACAATCAGCGTAGAGAAGAATAATGCTCGGTTTCAAGCAAGATATAGCACTTTCTTTTTCTCCTGCGATCAGGAGTAAAAACTTTGAATTTCGTGTCATGTTTAAATGTTATTTTAAATTTATACGATATGCTATATATATACTATATAGTATATATACTATATATATATTTATACTATTACTATCAATCAACACGAAGAAAGAATTGTTCTTAATACTGCATTCTTTTTGACAAAGATATGCAAATGCGTAAGTCCTACTACCGCTTCCATTGCAGAAGTTTAAATGTTGTTACTTAATCCGTGTGGATGAAGTATACGAAAAATAATCAGAGTAGGTTATTCGAAAGAGATTCTCTCATGCTATACAGATTGACGTTTAAATGATACCAGAGTCAGTAGGACCGTTCCAGTACGTTGTATACGTCGATCCTTTTCCATCCTCACCATTTTTTTCATCTCTTTCTTCACTTCTATCATACACCTTTCCATTTACATCATCCTTCTCCATTAAGTTAGTTATTTATTCTTTATATGTGATTTTTTTCTAGATTTATTTGACTTATAGCAACAGCAGTGATAGCGAGTTGTCTAAAAACGACCGGGTAGGTCTACGTCACGGACGTTTATTTTAGCCACTCGTCAACAGTATGGAACAAGTGCCATACCAAAGGGATTTTACAAACAGATTCCAACGGTTTACAACAACAGAAACACTGAGTCGTAGGCTCCGTCGCTCCTGAAATCCGTTTGTATAATATCCTTCAGACTTTTCTATTTTTGAGACTTCATATTGGTATGAAGAAAAAACTTCCTTAGTCTCAAACAAAAAAGATATCCATGAGTCTTATATGAAAATCACAAATGGATATGAATGGGTATGCGGTGAATTACTGCTTAGAGTTACTGAGGGAAATTTGCAATCGCCATAACGAGTATAGTTTAAGTGTTCAATACAACACTAATTTAATAGATTATTATAACATACGCTTCTACTTAAATCCCCAATTTATTATGGCTTAATTACAAATAAATTAACCATATATATTTTTTTTTAAATTTAATTTTAAAACATTGACTTTATTTTGTTTACGTTCTATTACACAATTGATATAAAAACTTTGTATATTGTAATAGTATATAATATATATGGATGTAAATTTGACAGAATGGACGAAATTTTATATCTGATAAGGATAAGAATATAATTTTTTTTCTCTATATGCTATATACTATTTATAGACCAAATCTATTATCTATATAAATTTTTTTTTTTGATATATAAAATATTTTAATAAATTTATAGTAAAAATTATTCGATAATTATTCATTTTTTACATATACAATATGCATGTGATTAGTTTTTCACAATTTTAAGGCCACTTTACTGTTACACAAGAATTATATAATCTAGGTATGCTATCAACAGACAGCCTATGAATCTTTTCCAAGACTACAATGGAAAAATTAGCAAAACTCATTAAATAATTAAAATGGTTTTCAAAATAGAAAAAGATGGAAGGACGGTTTAATACAAACGGTAACACAATGGGTCAGTAAATGACCTAAGTGTATCGTAGATGGTCGACAGCCGTATAATCTAACCTACTATTCTACATTGATTAGTTGTAAATAATATATAAAATAAATTTGAATACATAAAAAGTATATAAAACTTATATAAAACTGATATATTCGAAATTAAAAAATAAAGTCGATAAAAATACAATAATATACGATACAATAAACAAATGCTCGTATAATAAAAATAGACGGAATCGTTGCAACATAAATGTTCAGATAAACTAAAGCTTGGCTTATATATAAACTATAACTATAAATCTACGGAATGTACTTTCTGGTATATATAAATAAATATATACTTTTAACACATATCTATAGATGTATACAAATTTCAATTAATTTGAATAATTTTAAATTTTCGACCGTTAAAAGACATTCTAATATGTTTCTAGCTAACTTTTAAACATATAAGTTGTGATTAAGGTGATTATGGTGACAATCAGAGCGGTATTAATGTTGTATGCATAGCGTCTATTGGAATGGTTACGTGTTGTTTTACCTATAATTATAATTATAGTTATAATATTTATAATAAATTTTTTTATTTACGTATTTGTGTTATAGACTTACCCATCTGGAAACGTAAAGTTGGACTAGACATACGACCATCGCCTCCATTGCTGAAAGCTAGCACACGCATATTGTAGCTTTTTCCGGGTGTTAGATTGCTAATATAGATTTCTAATTTTTCTCCAACTGGTATTATAGTATCATTGGCGGTAATCATATTCTGATCTGTCTCCCAAATACGAACCTGAAATATTAAATTTAGTTTGTTTTAGTAATATTTTTAAATAAAGCAGCGATGGGTTGGGCATGTCATAAGAATGACGGATTTGAGAGTACCGCTTAAGATTTATTAAAACGAAGTAGGAAGCGGCAGAAGAAGAGGGCAGCTGAATTTAGAAGAGATGAACATAAGATATTGGAAAACAAAAGCAAAAAACAACAAGAATGGAAGGATGCTGTTAAACAAGCTTAAGTCCTACATGGACTGTATAGTCACGGATGATGATAAATATTTTTAAATGATACAATGAGAGAACATAATCACTTGTTACATTCTAAAATTACATTATTTTCCTAATCACTGATGTGATATTAATGATTAATTATAAATAGATCCGATCCAATACACGATACTAAAACTCAAATTCAATAAATAACATTTTTTATTTTTAGAAAGTCATACACCCATGATATGAAACCTTATTTAAATAGGTACAGTTAGGTTAGATTGGAGTGGCGACCATGTGTCCAAAACGCACTTAAGCTCAAATAATGGCACATTCTAATATCACAGATAAGGTTAGTTCATATGCAGCCAATGTCAGCGTATGAACAACTCTGAAAGGCACGGCTCCCCCATTAAAAGGGAACCAATTTGATAAGTCTATAAACTTGGACAAGTCCCTAATTTTGCAGGATGACAACACTGTCACGTTGGTAAGAAAAATCTTCTCCTAAGCAATGATAAACATTGATGCATTTCCTCTTTATCGGAAGAGATACAACGCCTAGTCATATAGGATAGACTCAGTCGCAAAGCATGTCTTTCTAGTACACAGTGACAATACCGGAAGCATTCTGTTGAGCAGGTTACTTCAACCTTCCACCTATCCTCCTATCTTATACCCAACCATTCACTCCTACAAACCCAAATTTCTTTTCATTTCTGTATGTTTTGTTATCCATTTCATGTGCTTGCTTGTCAGATTCAAAGGAGTTCCGATAACAAGTACAGTATGTAACCCGATTATTGGTGTTTCTGTAGAATTTATTTTATTACCTTGTAGCCAGCAATTGGCTCCTCATCTGGTGCTGGTGATATATAACGCCATACAACTCGTATCGTAGATGGATTAATGCCATATACATGTACGGATGATGGTGGTTTTTGTGGCGCCTTGCGATATGTGCGTTCTAAGAATAAAACCAAAGAAATTATAAAATATACTATATATATAATAACATATGTATGAAAAATTTACCTTCAAACCGTTCACTTTCAGGACCTTCACCAGCAGCATTATAAGCCATGACTTTAACGAAATAATAAGTATCCGGTTGCAAACCCACAATCGTAGCCCAATTTCTTGTGGTACGTGATAAATAATATACAGCATCTTCTTCTTGATGAGTGGTCTTCCAGTATTTTAACTTTTTTTTCGCCAAGCAAAAGTATTATTATATTAAAAGAATTACATATATAATGAAAAGATGTATACTTACTCTGTGTCCTATTAATTTACCACGTATGTTTTCACGTGTCAAATCGATTGGTTGCCAAGTGACATTGAAACATGTGGAATTGTATGGATAGGCAATAGGTTTTTGTGGTGCCACTTGTGGCATATCTTCTGCAGAATATATTATCACGGATTCACTTTCAGGTCCTTTGCCAACACTATTAATTGCTTGTACCTTAACTTCATACTCAGTATAATAGTTTTGAAATGGTATGTTAACAACAGCAACACCAACGTTCTGCTGATGTTCTCGAACATCGCTTGCCCATTCCAGTTTGTCTTTCAAACGCCAAAACACCTTATAATGTATACCATGACTATGTTGTTCTTGCGGTAATAGAGGATCCCATTTTATAGTAAGATCACCTATTTTACCACCACCTCCACCCACATTTCTAGGTGCTATATATGGTTTATCATCATAGGTGCTATAAATTGGTGATGGTGTTGATGGTATGCCAATGCCAAGATCATTAACTGCTGTTACACTGAACTCATAAGAGGACCATGGTGTTAGATTAGTTACTTCGGCTTGTTGACGTCCTGTATAACGATCAACTTCACGTGCTTGCAAATGTGTCGATACATTCACCCATGTACGATTCCAATTAGTACGACCCAATATATTGTAATAACGTATAGCACGTCCATTATTTGCACCATCGACCCACTCAATTAATGCTTTTGTTTTGCCGACTTCAATAACCTGAACACCGCCCGGTGCGCCAGGTGCACCTTCAATTACAACAGAAGTTTTCGCAATCAATTCATTTACCGCAGATTTCACGACACAATCATATTCACCGCCATCTAACATTGTCACATTATGTACGGTCATACGATTATAATCAATAATCTAGAAGAATCAACACAATTTTAATTAAATTTATAAAAATAATTAAAGTTAAGAGTACTCACTATGCGTTCTGTGCCGTCGTGATTATTTTTCAACACTTCACCATTACGCTTCCATACATACGCAATATCGAGAAGTTCATCATAAGAAGCTTCACATTGCAAGTAGATCAAGTCATGCTCTTTGGTAACGATACGTAATGGTGGCGTCTGTATGAAACGTATCTCCTCTATAAAATTTGAAGTTATGTTAAAAATATGAATATACATTATAATTTTAATATCTTACGCAAAACAATAAGACGCGCACGTGATTCATCAAAACCAGCTTGATTGGAAGCTACACATGTGTAGGTGCCTTCATCGTCGCGTGATGTTGGAGATATTATAAGTGTCCCACTTGGTAGTATGCGTCTATGTCCACCAGATCCTATAACTTGCCCATCTTTTTTCCAAACGAATTTCGGACGTGGCGCGGCTTCTGGGTTACACACAATTGTGGTGTTTCCATTGTAGGCGGCATAAATCTCAGCTTCCAGTGGGTGTTTCTTAAATGATGGCTTCATTGAGAGTACACGCAATTGTGCGGAAGAGAATGCAGTCTTTAATTGATTTGTAGCACCACATTGATACATGCCATCATCCTTATCAGGATCCAAATATTTGACTGTCAGTAAATTATCCTGTATTATATAACGATCCTTATTTATATTTTCAGGATCAAGACGTAGTGCATTTTTGTACCAAGTATAATTAACATCGGGTATAGCAAATGCTTCACAAATAAAAGTCACATCACTGTTATAATCCTTGATTTTATCCAGTAACGGTATGGTAAATTGTGGTTTCATTTGTATATTTATAAAGACCGATTTTTCTATGGATCTTCTTGGATTTGTTATAGTACAAGAATATTCACCATTATCTCGCGTTGTAGCATTTTGTATGATCAGCACACGATTATAATTTGTGGTAAAAGCATTACGTTGCAACGGTAGTCCACGTCTAGTCCAATTATATGCTGGAATTGGATAACCGAAAGCCATGCACTCTAAACGTATTTCATCACCAGCGACTGGAGCTTCGGGAAATACCTAAAATTAGTAAAAAAAAATTATTATTGAATTATTAGTAATATAGCTATATGTGAAATTCTTACCTTTGGAAACGAATTTGCAAAAATGAGTGACTGATAATTGCTATTAGGCAGCACACGCAAGGGGAAGAATGGTCCATTACGTCCATTGTCCGCAACTAAAGTTTGTACTGTACATGAATAATTGGCTCTATCTACAGTTTCTATGAAGGAGAAATATAGAGCGCCATCATTTGAAACAAAAACGCGCTGATCCTCATCAACGAAATTTGGAAAGAAGTCACGTGACCAATAATATTTCACATCAGGATAATGTTGCGGTGGATCACAAAATATTGATTTTCCCCAATTCATTTCACCCGTTTCAGAGGAACGTTTTAAATTGAATTCCATAATAAAACCAAAATTCAAATTGGCGCTCTCAGAACGCACACGTCCAAATTTATTTTCGGCCACACAATGATAAGCACCTTGATCGAGTGCTTGTCGTGGTTCATAGATAATAAGATTACCACCGGATACAGTATAACGTTCATTCTTAAGTGGATCAATTAATTTATATTCCAAAGTATCATTAGAGTATATTTCCCTGTACCAAGTATATGTAGGTGTTGGGTAACCTAAAGCAAGACAACCCAGTGTAACATCATTAATCATACGATTTTTGTATGTGTCATAGACGGTATCATTGGGTTGCTTTACGAAATAAGGACCACGCGGAATTCTTTCAATATCAATCACATAGAGACCATAATCAAATGGACGCTTGTCATCATTTTTTAAAAACACATTTTCCGGATTATAGAGAGTTCTTGATTCGCAAATGAAGAGATTCAATTCACCGTCATATGTAGGCATAAACATCCAACGATCACGTTTGCGGGAATAAGCATACACAACGCGATCTTTAACATAACCATTTTCACCATATAAATTTTGACCTAGAGAAGATGTTAGAATTTAATAAGATTTAGTAAACTTAGTAGAAAATATATATATACCTAAAAATCCTCTCAAATTATTGCTGCTCGTACCAGCTGCGGTATTGAACTTTTGATTGTAAAAGTTGCGATTATTATCATTTAAGTTATTTGCATTGTGTACCAAAAAGCGATTATCATGCAAATCTTCATTTTCAATAGCTTGTTCCTCATCAAACGCAAAAGAATCCTCAAGATAGAAGAATTGTGAATTATCATCGTTAACCCAGGAATTAGGTCCTGTTTGACGTGCCGAAATCCAAAAGCGATTTTGTGGCTGATTTTGTACAATTAACTCTTTAAGTATAAAGGAGTGCTCATCCACGTTATCGATGTTGATAAGTTCCGAGTTGTATGCTTTGCATATCTTTTTGGCATCCAACCAATTACGTTTCGGAGATCGTATAAAACGATAGCAAGCTTGTCGGAAAGATATCCAATGCTCAGGGCAAAAGTTTTGCTCATTGGTGAATTCATCAATATAGCCATAATTAGGATTGCCTTGCGTATTGGCACGATTGAATGGATCGTATGCATTGGTGCCACCTAGTGTATTTGTGTTCAGCTGACGATTGCCACCAGGTTGATCATAATAACTATTGTAATTATTTTGATTCGGCATCAACACACCTTGTTGATTTTGCAAATCTTGTTGTGAAGGCAGTAGTGGGTTTTCATATATTGAAGTCTCGGGATTTTGTTGTGTGTTCGTATACAATGGATTGTAACGTGGTTGATAATCCTTATTGTAGGTCGGTTGATATGTTTGTTGGTCATTTGGTAATTGTGCAACTGCATCGGCTTCTGCGAAACTGTTTTTTATGTATAGGATAAACAGTAACTGCAATATGAAGTTGCAAAGCAAATTTGTTCCTTTTCGCCGCATTTTACGAATTTTTCCACTTCAATATTTTTAATCAATTGAAGTGAGTTTAGTTCAAAGGCACGTTCTAAATTCGATCCTGATAAAAAAATATATATATTAAAATAAATAAAGAAGCAGAAGCAGAGTTATTTAAATTAATTGTAGTTGATAAACAGGATGTAGATATATTATCATCATATTATACGTATTATCATAATTTCATAAGTTTAAATTTAAGGCCTTTGCTCTTTATACTATAGTGTCTTTGTTTTTCTTTTTATATAAAATTCCATTCATTAACTATTCATTATCAATTTTGATTTGTGTTTATAATACAAAGATATAGACCGATACAAAGATATACCCTCGTGTAATATATGTAGTATTATTAACATGGATTCAAAAATTACAGTTTTATTCTACTGTTAAAAAATTAATTGACTTTAATAGTTAATAGGAATTAAGAGCAACAGATATATAGGCCACCAACAGGACAGATTAATGTAAAATTAATAGGTTCTTTGTATCGCAACAAAACCCGAATTGAACAAACACATTACGTCTATCGAACGTAGAGCAAACTGTCTTTCATTTCTATGAATTCAAAGTCTCTCGGTGCAGATGTTAATTAATTTAAGATGACTCATTTTTTTATAGTATTTTTTATTGTTACAGTAGTGAGAGAGTACATATATTGCTATTTAACTATCAGATTTAATAAAAGTGTTTTTTTAAAGACATTCAAATTTGCATATATCTACATTAAGCATACAATCAAGCCTATTGAAAATTTTGTTTCATCATTCTAAATATAATAAAAATATTATAATTCTGATCTGTTTCGACATATCTTCTAAATTTTCCATTCATTAACTTTTTGTTACCATTTTCCCATTGGCGGAAACCGATTTTCACATTGTTCTTTAAGTACTTCACTTGTAGTAATATCCATAATTTAATAAGTAATAAGTAATATCCATAACGCAAGAGAAAGTTTGGCTGGATTGGTCATACCTTATGAAAGCCGTCCAGTGAAGTTTGTTTTCAAGCCTTTACGTATAATCCGCAAGGCAGTAGAAGAGGAAGGCCTAAGATTACTTGGCTCAGATCAACACTAAACGAAATTAACATCCAATCCACACACCTTAACAGTTCATACATCAATATTGTTGAGCTCAGAGAAGTGGCAGTAAGAAGGAAAAGATGGAGGCAATTTATAGATAGCCTAAGCCCCAGTAAAAGGCATGGAATCATGTGCTGGCAAGCAAGGCTTAATAATAAATAAATCTATTAATTCTAAATCTATTCATTTCAGCTCAGTACTCTTTTTTTAATATAAATATTCTACTAATTTTATTTAAATACTTATAATTCTATATATGTTAAACATTTCAATTTTAATGGGCAATTAATTGTTTGCTTGAACATAAAACTTAAAAAGAAAACAATTGATGAACAGATAAAGTATATATTAATATATATATATATATATATATATGCATGCTAAAAATGTTCAATTGTAAATAAAATAAAAATATTTTATGAGCTGTGAATTCTAAATAGAACTGAGATACTCGAAATATTAACAAACAAATTTTTAGATTATTGCAGCGCCAATGTAAACAAACAATTTTTTACAGTGGTTAAAATAACAAAAAAACAAACCAAAAAATATAAATATGACTTATGGAAATTTAATTATTTAAAAACAAAATTTTGAATATACACATAATTAATTATAATTGAAATATTTTTAAATAAAAATAATTTAAATAAATTTTCATTTATTACTAAAAATTTTTTTTTTTGCCACACACTTACATACGCTGGAGTGTAATGACGAATTAATTAAACCGTCAACACAGAAGGTGTGGTCTGCTTATATATTTAAAGCTGAGCTTAAAAAACACATTTATTTTTTTTTTGTATAAAATTTTTTGAACTTTTTAATTTAAATAGTTGTTATTATTTTAAAATATTATTTATAATTTTATTTTTTTTGTTTTTAAATGCATATTACACTAAACACTAAATGCACTGCCAGAGAAGTCTCAAGCTGGCGTAGCAGCGCAGCTAAGCTTAAATCATACAACCACACCTTAAACTTGAATCACCGTTTATTTGAATTGATTTTTTCTATAATAAATACTTACTTCTTATAATTTATTTTATTTCATATTAAATGAATAACAATTAATTATATATTCATATTATTAAAATCAATTTTTTTTTATTAAATTTCAAAGCAAAACAAAAATTCCACAAAAACAAAACACCAACTCAACTAAAATGAAGTCTTGTTATGTCTACAAAGCAGCGGTCTGACACTAGAACAGAAATAACAATGCGTACTGGAAAGAGAGTAAAATTTTAATTGATGAGCAAAAACAGGGTTGCCAATACTTTACTATTGGAAAATATATTGGAATTTTTGAATGAGATTAATTTTGGTATTTAAAGTATTTAATCGTATTTAATTGCATTATAAGTTGTAAAGAAGTTAAATGATTAGAATACATTATTACACAATATATATTTTTATATTAAATACAATAATACAATACAATACAATGTGTTAAAAATAATGATATTTTTAAAAATTTTTTCTTCTATAAACATAAATTGATAAATTATTAAAAAAATAATTTCTTTTTAAGTTGCCTAAGTTAATTTAATACAATTTAAAATACTAAACATCCAAATTTTTCTACTAGTATTTTTATTCTGTAATCACATTTTAATTTATTTTATATACGGCAATACAATGGGTCAATAGGACTTAGTGGATCCCTTAAGGATCGCCGGTATAACCTAACCTAACTTATATTCTATTTGAAAAACTTAAAAGTTAACAGTTATTAAAAAAAATAGACATGATTTATAACAAAATAATCAAAATAACCAACTTAAGCAATTAGGTGAAGTTATGTAGTATTTATATGTGTATCAAATATAAACACAAGACGTATATTATTTCTTGGATAATAGATATTTTTTGGTGTTACTACAAAATTCCTAAGTCTCAAACTTAATTCTTATTTTTCTTAATTCTTATAAAACCAATGACGTTTTTATTAACTTAAATAAGCAACTACCATTTACAATGTTGCGATATTATCTTTAGTTTTAAAACTGTTATCTACACTTTATTAATTTTGTGAGTGCTATCTACTTTTTATAGAGATAAGTTTTAATTTTAGTATGTTTCTAGTAAGTAGATTTGTAGTTTTTTTTAAGGAAGACCTAGAAATATTATATGTCTTTTTTTTAAACGGAAAACAGTGGCAGAGTAGCACATCAAAACCTTTATTTAAATGATATGAATCCTGGAATCCTAACTTTTTATAAACTCCTTTAAAGTTTCTAATGATATTTCTATATGATGTATCTAACTATTGGCTCGTCTGATTTAAATATTTATGTATGTACATATCTATTAATGTCTTTTTTGTAGAAAGTAACGCATTTTATGACAAAAAGAAACTATTTAAAAGTTAGAAGGGTTCGAATAGAAATAAAGAGACAACAACAACAATTTTAGTTAATTTATTGAAGTTTGACTGACCAAACTTTTTTTACTCTTTTAATCTCTATGGTTAGCTAAACTTCAATAAATTAACTAAAATTGTTGTTATTGTCTTTTCATTTTTATTTGAACCCTTTTATATATATCTAGATTTAAGGGCTTCAAGTACCGTCTACGTGTTGGAGAAAAGTTGTATTATAATGTTATAGACAATAAATTAAGAAATACCTTTATAGTTTTGATTATAACAGTTATTTAGGCTTGAAAAAACGCATTTATCTGCAAATCTTAAAGACTGCGCTATGTCAAATTAGTAAGATCTAAGGTTCACTCCAAGTTTGTTATTAATTTCTTAGTGATTTTTAAAGAAAATTAATAATATATTCTTTAAAAACAGTGTTTGTGGATCCAGTACTTTCTTGATATTGTATTTATATAAATTTTTTAAATTCAAAATTGGATAATTTTATTTGGAAACACACAGATGATTAGGATGTGAATAATCGTAAAAGAGAGAGAAAGAAGATTATTAATGACATTTGTATGAGATATACTATATTAGAAATCGACTACTTCAGAGTTATACTATCCGATGTGGGTGTAATTAACTAATTTTTTTGACTTAAGCTTATAATTTTATCTAAGTGGATATTCATATAGATTTCATGGTATACTCTGGTTTAGTATAGCATCATATTTTATGATATATAGTGGTATAATAAAGTCAATAAAGTATGATGTGGTTCAATATAGTACAGCTGTGGGATTAAGGAATGAAGCAAACACCAGTCGACTCTCTACAGATACTCAATTAATATTTCAGTGCAATATATAAAAATATTTCCAACTAGAGGTCCAGTTTTTACAGATACCAACATACAATTTTAGTATATAAAACTATTTTCAATTACGAAGTCAAATTTCTATTTATTTTATTGTGACACCATTTTGGACACTACATCTCTGAAATGTAGAAATAGAAATTTTTTTTATGATGGAACTATTTTATTTGTTTGATGCATTTTCTTGGGCTTCTTGGGTAAATCGAACATAATTAGCGAACTTTCCCAAACTATTTTAGCTTAGAATTTTGAAATCGCCCACCTCTCCATAAATCCATTGATATGCAAAATATATTCTCTAACAAAATGACTAAACATTCTGAAAAATGTTTACTTTCTGTTTTGAAAATTGCACACAAATAATTTTAAATATGCGTATATAAGTATATATATTTTACTATATCTATATTGAAAATATATTTACTGTTGTGTTTATTAAAAATAATTAAATTTAGTAAATATTTGTTTGCTATGAAAAATGGAAGACTTGTGAAAATTGTGTTAAAATTGATTTGGTACATTCCTTAAAAATCTCATTACATGGACCACCCAATCGACCTATCTGTTCTGCGTGGTAGTATTCATTGTCGGCGTGTGTTGTTAGTTCGTCAGCAGATGTAGAGGGTCTGAAATAAACGAAAAAAAAGACAGTGTCTTTAATAATTTTAAATAAAATTAATACAGTTTTAACTAAAATATTTTGTTAAGATTTTTTTAATGAATCATAACAGAACCTTATATTGCCTTGAATGTCAGTATACATTCTAAGAGAATTTGTATTAGGATGAACCAACTATATGTATGTTTTATACTAAATTAGATTAGTTTAGGTTATATCCATTATGCTGTGGTATTATTAAAAACCAAGGGTTAAAACCAAGTAGAATCTTTGGCAAAGCTTATGATGCTATTTAAAAGAAGGTCCTGAAGTTCGCCAAGATACACAAAAAAGAAAGTCCCTAAAGTGTTAAGGCAGCGTCGTGTATGTGACGGACAGAAGCAAAGCAGGTGGGATGCATTTTCATCGTCCTCAGCACAACTGCGGCAGAAATGGTTGAAAGGAAGATTTAGTCTCCTAGCATGGTTACCTAGAATACAATGATCTGTAAGTAAACCTACTACAAGACTGATATGTCAACGGAGCATCGCTATTAGAGAGTTTAATTTTCTTCTATTGTTGTGTGGCCAAATTGCATACAGATAAATTTAATTTTAACGTCAATACGACAGTAATTAATAGTTAATATGACTATTTTCACTTTAATACTGGGTTTGTGTCAGTTGATTAATGAACACTGAGCCTGAGCTTCGAATTTGGCAGTTCAACTCAAGTATTTGGTAATACTCGCAATAGCTGTATGATCAGACAAAAAATTTGTTTAAATAAAAAAATATAATAAAAATTTTATTGTTGTAGTTCACTATTTTTCGAAACCTCTCTATATTGTCTAACGTACTTTAACAAAGAAGCAATCAATCGACTATAAACAACTGCTCTTCGGTATAAAATCTTAACTATATAAGCACACTCTTTTCAATATAATGCTGCATACCACTTTTAATCCGTTCTATTATTCTCACAATACTCACGTTAGTATTATATGTAGTATTTCACTTAAAAGTCCACTGCCATAATGAAATGGTGCATCTGCCGCTTCACAAATCGTTCTTAAAACACAAGTTCTTCCTGCATATCCATAACTAAAACGATAGAGTATACTTTATATAGTTTATTTACATATATTTTTTCACATTGTTACTTCTCTGAAAATTTCTCCAAAACTTTATAAATTAACCAACGATACTTTGCATATTTTGATATATAATTTAGATTTGAATTCTTATATTCTCTCTTCATGTCAAAGAAATCGAAATTTTTAGATACATTTGTTCTTATTTTATAGGGTTCTGTAATGGGATGTGTAGTGTGATTTCTTAAAGCGAACACTGTCGACGGTAATATATGTGTACTCTTGAAGACAATACCCGTAAGAACAGTCTCGAACTGTAATTCTTCAACTGGTACACCAAAACCGCAAACAAACTGTAAAGAACCCTCTGAGCAGGAAATGATTAGTTCCATAGTCTTTCGCATATTTTTAAGAGTAATACTCACTGCCGTGATAAATAAGCGGAAGTTTGCAATTACAAATATTAATTAATATTAGAAAATATACAATATTTATTTGTTTTTTAAAAGCTGACATTATTAATTTATTACATTTCTTTAACTCAGTTATGAATAATAGTAATTTAACGTTCGAATTCAACTAATGCTAGAAATATGGCCTCTACATGGCTCTGGTCTATTCTTTGAAATATGTGCAAAAAATTAACACCTTCTGGCGAGACTACAATAGGTAAAAATTCGCAAAGCGTTTAATGGGAACATTTGTGCGAATTTTGTTTGATGTTTTAAATTAAATTATGCATAACGAAGTAAATAATTATTATATTTACTGCTTGACTGTTCCAGGGCTGGTTCTTGCATATAATTTAAATATATTATAATTATGGGAAAAATTGCTACAGGTTGGAAGATGGGTTTTGTAAAATATAATTTTATTATAAAAAGTTGATATGCAGAGAAGTTATTAAAAGACATTGCCAGACACATGCATACTCATCCAAGTCAATTAATAAAGTAGAATTCTCCATTAGAAAGTAATATAGAATTCTCCAAGGTTCTCAAGTGTTTAATACCGACTGTTAAACACTTTTAGCTATTTATCTTTATACAGTATTTAATATTACCGTCGCTTGTTTCACAATTCAATTTTCTACAAAATCGTTAGAACCCCAAACAGGCACGGACCCCGAAAACCGGATTAAGGAACTAAAGTCCTCAAAATTTATTGAAGGACTGTATTTATATATATGTTAATTTGTTACATGAAAACATATAGTTAAGCGGATATTCTCTAACTATTTAACATCAATCCTATCTCCGGGTTAACAAATAAGAAGATCTGGCCCTCCAAGTTGGTGGTTGATCGCAAGGCCAACAACACTGCATCGGAAAAAATTTTACCGCTATGCAACCCTTAGGGAGGCCAAAGTTCGTACTGGACTGTAATGCCAAATAAGAAGAAGAATGTTAATTTGTTATTAATGCAACCTGATAGTTGATAATATAATATATTTAAATCATTTTAGTGGGAACAGAGCTTCCACTCCCGAAGTTAAAGTTGTTATTTTTGATTTTAATTTATTTAGGATGTACTTCAAGTATTATAACTTTTAATTATAATTAATTTATGAGACGACATTTGCTTAGGTTAGAATTGGTCCACCATCAATTAATTTTTTTTATACGTACACCAGAAGGATATTTGAAAGGACATTCAAATAAACAACGTGGAAAAGCACGACTTTCTTATTCAAGTAAAGTAAACTAACCTAACAGCTCTGTTAGGTCGAAAGGAAAAGGATCCTGAAAAATTTCGAATGTTTTCCTAGCCAATGATGAACACTAAAACATGAGATGGATTACAGTCACATCTTCTTCCGTAGAACCACAATCTTGACAAAAATCATTTTAGGGTAGACTCTGTCTCAGAGCATGTTTTTCTCGTGACCTGCCAGCGCTAATACCGTAGAGCTGAGCAGGTTACGGTTTAGTTAAAGCAGCTGTTTGTGAAATTTCTTCTTCAGTTTGGACCAGACTAATCTTGGGATCTGACAGGAGTTTTTATCTGTCCAACTTTTAGGTGAGGCATTTGAAAGATACTGCTCTTCGAACATATCATGACACTTTAAGTTAAGATATGTTGGACAAATATAATTCTTACTATTTGGGATTATTATAAGAAACTTTTCATTCAACATATTTAATGCGGATTTTATTTATCTCTTCAGAAAAAAAAAATCATGGTAAAATCTCACAATCATTATTTTAAAGATATATTAAATAAAATAATATTTTAAATTACATAAATTTATTAAAATTATACACATAATAAAAATATGAATTATTTAATTTAGTTTTAAATTAGTTTAATAATTTATAAGACATTTCATGATAATTTAATAAAATTAAATATTATATGCAAGTTGTTATTTAAAAAAATAATAAAATATATATTCACATAAATTATTAATATACATAATAAAAAATAAATAATTAATGAATAATTAAATTTAATTAATTAATAATAATTTAATAATAATTAATTAATAATTAATAAATAATTAAATAAAGCTTCAAATTGTAGAAGATTTTTTTATTTATTTGTTTTATATAACATTTAATAACAATTTCTATAAAATATCTAATAAACAATTAATTTAAATAATATTTTACTTATATATTTTTTTATTGTTTAAATTTATTTTTTATTAAATTGTTATTACGACCAATATTCAATCAGTTTTTTATATTTGTTATTGATCTGAGATCGTTTATTTAACACATAAATTTATATAAATATTTTTTAAATAAAATAAAACATTACAATTTTTAGACTATGTTAATTATTTAGTTGTATTTTAATTTTTATACAAATATTATATTACTAATATATTATATTATTAAAATTAAATTTATAATGAATAAATATTAAATAATTATATATAAATAATAAATATATTTTTCATATTTATATTTTATATAAATATATTTTATGAATATATAAATAATTAAATAATTATTTTTTTAAAAATATGAATAAAATGTGTACCAACGTATCACATGTTAGATGCTTTTACACAAAAAATTACACATTGCAGTCCACATGTGTCTACTACTTTTGTATTTGTTGCGCAACATTGTTGCAAGCAACCCTGTTATTGATGCTTTGGTATTTTTGTTTTGAAGCGCATTACGCATTCATCATTTGTGTCGTGATTTTTATTGCAAATAGTGCTGCTGCTGATTCATAATACGATAACTGTGAACGTAAACGATCTCTTCTTATATTAAAATAATTGATATATTTAAAATTAATTAATTGTAAATAATAATATTATGGCTGATAAACCAACAGTTTTAATATTAGGAGGTTTGTATATAAGCACAGCATCAACCACTTGTTTCCTTGTGTTGTGTTTGTTGTAATACATGTTCCTACCATGCACTGTGCACTTGCATCCAACATGCATACAACAAATGCTTTGTCGCTTATCAATTTATATTATTAAATTCTTAAATTAAATGTTTTTTTGGTCTTATATTATTGATAATAACAGGGTGCGGATTTATTGGACGTAATTTAGTTACTTATCTTGTTGAAAATGACCTTACGCAGGAAATACGAATTGTAGATAAAACGCCTCCACAAATGGCTTGGCTGAATAAACGGCACACAGCCGCAATCGGGAATGAAAAAGTGGAATATTGCAGTGCAAATCTAATAAATGCCGGTAAGTCAATATGAATGAGTCATTTGAGGCGACATACCTACGTGTACTTTTTTATCCTTGCAGCTTCGTGTAAAACTGTTTTTATGCCGCACACAACCACGGCGCGTACGTGGGATATTGTAATTAATTGTGCGGCCGAGACACGCCCAAACCAGACTGATGCAGTTTATAAGGAGGGCATACTTAAGCTCAGCATGAACTGTGCACATGAGGCAGTGAATATAAAAGTGAAACGTTTTGTTGAGTTGAGTTCCGGTTGTGTGAATAGTTCGGAGAAGACACCATTAAAGGAGGACTGCAAATTGGACCCTTGGACTAGCGTGGCAAAACAAAAATTGAAAGTCGAAAAAGAATTGCACACACTCGATGATCTCTCCTATACAGTGGTACGTTTGCCTATAGTATATGGACTTGGTGATAAGCGATATCTAAGTAAGTTTTAATACGCATACTTAAAGAAATATTAATTTACATATATATTTACATATGTACATAATTGTTTACTGCTTCAGTGCCACGCATAATTATTGCTGCTATCTACAAATACTTAAACGAAACAATGAAACTGCTCTGGAATGATGCTATGCGTTTCAATACGGTACATGTGGATGATGTATGTGCTGCTATATGGGCTTTAGCACAGAGCTCACAAGCTGCCGGAGAAACGTATAATATAGTAGATGACTCCGCTTCGACACAGGGTACCATATCAGATTTATTCGCTGATATTTTTGCAATAAACATAGACTACTTTGGCATTGTAATGTCCAACTTAACAAAGGTACCATACTACCTTCAATATATATTATAATTCATTCTTTATTAATTCTTTATTTCTAGTTAAGTTTAACTGATACTGTAAGCGAAATAAACGATAAGCATATGGCTCCTTGGGCTGAAATATGTCAAAAGAATGAAATCAATAATACACCACTCACGCCATATATGGATGAGGAGCAGCTGTACCATAAGCACTTGCATTTGGACAATACAAAATTAAAAGATTTTGGTTATAAACTTATGGTGCCAACGATTAATGCGGAGCGTGTAATGGAAATCATAAATGATTACGTTGACCAAAATTTATTCCCGAAATCATTGACTTTATGAATTGTGATTTGATATTTGCAGAATTTAGAGTTTTTCTATTTTCATATAAACTATTAGTGATGTTTATATACTTATTTTAGGAAAGTTTTTATGAAAAAGTATAGCTAACGTACTTTAAACCTCATTAGATATTGTTGGTATAGAAGAGCAATTATTTGAAAATTTATTATTATGACTAAAGTGTACTTATAGTATTAATGTTCAAATTTTATTTTAATTTTTTATTATATTTCAAAAGTGCTAAATACGTTTATATTGTACTGCTACGATTGATATTCCATTTTACGATATTATTATTATTATTATTATACTATTACAATTTAAAAAAGACAACGAACTTTTCATATACATATATGTATGTCATAATATTGTGCCAAAATAAATTAAATAAATAAACACAATATTAAGGAAATTTAAAATAAGTTTAATTTCTGTTTATTAAGGAATTCAATATTCAGATAATAATAAAAACTACATTAGATGATTAATTTTAAAGTCAAGGAATATAAGTTTTCAATATATCAGTTATCTTATTATTCTGTGAAGGTGTTCTTAAAGGTGAATGAGGGCTACTGGCAAAAGAAAAATGCATCGCTTTGATGTCGATTTGATGACTGGTGACTATGACTAAAGATTTCATCTAAATTATGTACACTAGCTCGTTCATCCTACCTGTGGTTCTGTATGGCGCAGAAACAAAGACACTATTACAGAGTTTTCTAAGAAATTTTTGGTTTGAATGGTGGAGTCGTTGTTGTCGTAACCCGCTGGGACTTGTAAGCAGATAACATGAAAGGATAACAAAACGATTACATGAGGAGGGAAGTGGGTGGGTAGAGGTTAGGGAAGATAAAGAAGAATGTGGAGAAATTAGGTGAGAGGTTCATATTGAACATTATCCCTGATCTAGACGAAGAAATCTGGCCATTTCAATAGGGTGCGTCCAACGGTTAATTGAACGAAGGTTAGTGTGTGCAGGCGAACAGATAGTCGAGGTCATGGTGTGAAGAGCTGTAGTAAAGGTAGCTTTCTTTCAATGGGTAAGTCGTTCCTTTCAGAGTTGCACGTATGCTGACCTCTAATCTGTTTATGAACAATGAGAATATATGGTATCACAACAGACCAATTTTTGAAATCAAGTCGTTTTTGGGCACAAACCCGCCACCTAACTTAACCTTTGATCCTCTACGAGTTGACGATGACTACCACATCCGAATAAACAATGAATCGTATAAACTTTATCACGACATTTGTATAATTCAGTAAATTAAGATCAAGTGACTTTGAAGTAGTGCGAATAGATGACTGCATCGCAGCGAAAATGGTATTTGAAATGTTCGTTAACGAAAGAACGCGTAGTGGTAGACCGATGAAGTGATTTAGCTAAGGAAGCACTAACTACACTCATTAAACTATTTCATAAATTTATATACACCTAAGCTTTAACATAAACATACCATACATTAAAATAAACTAGAGTAACTACGCCAGTTAACAGCACCAACAAACACGAAAGAAGAATTTCATTTTTCATAGAATTTGTGTAGAAAACTATTGAATAAATATTTTTAACAGTAAACTGGTTAGAGGGATTTGGTTATTAATGTATAATTCCAGTTAACAGCACCGACAAATTCTATGACAAAACATTTTCATTTTTCATAGAATTTGTGTAAAAAACTATTGAATAAATATTTTTAAAAGTAAAATGGTTAGAGGGATGTGGTTATTAATGTATAACTAAGCCAGTTAACAGCATCAAAAGTACGAAAGATGAATTTCATTCTATAATAATTATTTTTAATTATAAAATGCTAAGTGAGACGTGGGTAGAAATGTATATCTCAATCACAGTAATAATGCTTAATTTGCAGCATATGGTATTAATATATTAAATTGATTTCTTTCTAAAAGAAGCTTAAAAAGATATTCAAAATTTAATTTGTTTTTAATGTTTTATTTTATTTTTTATATATTATGGCGTAG